GGCGGTATCTTTGGAAATCACTGGCGCTTGTCCAGCGCCCGGTCGCTTTTACAGCGAGCTATTCACCCTTCACAAAAGGGCTAGTGATTTCCAAAGATACCAGGTGTCTCTTTCAACACATTCCCCCAATGGGAAAACGGATTCCAAATCCAGGCTGCATCTTTCAGCAGCCAATGCGCTTGTCCAGCGCTTCCCATCTTGTCGATGGTTGGTTGGAATCCGTTTTCCCCGCAGCTGACGCGGTCCAGACCGTCACTGAAGTCAAAGAAGTTCCACCTGAACACCTTAATCAGGATGACATACAACAACATTTGTAAAACCTCACCTGTCAACAATTTGAGTTTTTTTGGGTGGAAGTTGTTCTTCAACAATTCAATCAACCATTCATTATTTATTAATTGTACCGGTAAAAATAATACTGTTCTGATTCACCGACTGCATCTCAAGTGTATTGACTACAAATTGAACTGACTTGATGCGCTGTTTCAATACAGTTTAGAACTCCATCCCACCCTCCAGAACTGAGTGCTGCGCTTGTCATGGCACTTCACTGACATGCTGACAAGGGGGTCGGGCGTGGGCAGCAGGGATGAAGACGACAAAAATGACCAATATTATAAAACCACACATATATACCACAATTTAAGTGACCTACGATGGAGACAGTCTACCAAAAGACCCTGACCACGAAAGAACCCTGGAGCACTGAAGTAGATTTTTAATAACCATCACTGAGAGGAGATGGTTGTATATTTAGATAGGAAATTCAACGTTTGTCACCAAAGCCATTGGACCAGGGAGTCTAGCTATAGAACTATACAGTACCCGTCTTTGAACTCACGAACAGCTGTTGGGAGGTTCGTTGACAGTTGGGGACCATGACAGTGCTAGCACAGAACGGGAAGTACGTAAGACGAAAGAGCCACCTACTGCACCCTCCAACTCACCCCTACTAGGGCTCCGAGTACCTCCTCAGAAGGTACTTGGACCCTCCAAACCATCCCAAACACCGGAAAAGGTATAACTAGAGCTCTAGGGCACTAACATGGAAGTGGAAAACCACCTGCTTCTATAGAGGAAAGTAGGTCTTCCAGGCGCTTCCCGTTGCCCATGCCATCCACTTAGTATGCATGTTCGTCCGAGTGAACATTTTAAGTCTTTAACTTCCTGGGTTCGGAAAGCTGCCTGTGCTGGGTTCCGTCCTGCTCGGTGCCTTCGGCGTCATGTCATCCGAAGTCCAGCACAGGAAGTAAGAGCAGCGCAGGGCCAGCAGCGGCTCTCGCAGCCCTGAACCCGAAGTGGCTAAAAGCAAACACGGTCCGTGGGACGACCTTTAAGACGGGAAGTGAGTTTCCCGACTGTATGAACAGAATTGAAGGGTCGTCATCAGCTCCCAGAAGAAACACAAACAACATACAAAAACACATCACTTGCTGCGTTGGTGGTTTTCAGAACCTACAGCTGGTCATTCCCTCCTCCATGCCGCTCGTCTCACCTGACTCCAAACCGACTCCACACTTGACCGACCGACGCCGGACGCATCAAACCGCCATCGACCGGTGGACAGGATCCCACCTTTGTGAAGGCCTACTCCCGAAAGGGAGCGGCGTTGGGTTGGCCCAGAGACTTCGATGCCGCCGCGCCGACCCACAACGCCATGCGCCCCCCCGTGCCCCCGCAGGCCCCCGAGTTGAAAGGGAGTTCGTGTATTTTGGGGGAGGCAGGTCGTTGAGAGGTGCTCGGCAAGTGTTGGTTGATGAGACTCACCATGAGACATTGGACGGGCATAGAAACGAATGTACTGAATTAAGTTTTAGATATATGCTTGAATAGATGTGTTTTGTAAAATGGATGGAATAGACTGGTGCCATGGGAGCTTGTTAGGAAAATTATGACTGCTCAGAGTTAGATGTGATGGGGGAGTTTGTTGAGGGAAGTCATGACTCAAAGAACGTTAGCCTATCAGATTGTAAGACAGAGAATCACAGAAACAAGTAGGAAAACGAGCAGACTTGGACCTTACCAGGCGATGTCACTCCGTGGCTACGGCTAAGGCATTTCTTCATGAAGGAGTACCACAAGTCCTTGCAGGCTTACGAGCAAGGCGAGCGTCGACTGGGAGGCTTTCGTGTCAAAAACAGTCAAAAACAACTTATTAATTACGTTGACAGGTAATTGAAGGCTCTTAAAGTTCGACTGTAACTAGTTATACCTGGACCCTCCAGTTCCTTCCCTCGAAAACGGGCGTGTTGGCCGTGTCGTGTCGGCCGTGTCGTGTCGGCCACGCCAGGCCTCAAATTGGATCCTGAGAATCAGGAGACACCGGGGTCGACTGGATGGGGCAGCCTTGTTGGTCGCATTTGGGCGGCTGGTCCACGGCGACTTGGACGTCGCCTTGTCAGGTCCAAAAGCCCGGTGAACCGTCCAGTTGGCTCAGAGGATGCAACATGCAGTGAATGGATGCCTCAAAATCTTTGGGGTAAGATTTTGCTTTTGGAGGTTTTTGTGTGTTTTTGATGAACTCCGCGGATGATTTTCTGATCGAGAAGGTGGTTTGCACACTTAGCACACGGAAGCACTTGTTGAAGGAGTGCTGTTCAGATTCCATTAGTGTAAGTTATCGGTATTAGGGGGATTCAGCAATTCATGGAATTGGAGGTTGTACTTACCCATCTGCTTGAAATTTGCAGCCTGGGGTAAGATTGTGGAAACGTCACGTACTAACCTACTACTCATACCACCAAGAAAACTTGGAACACACCGGGTAAAGGCCTAGAACATGGAACATCACCCTCCCTATGGATCTCCACATATACCTTCTCAGAAGGCGTCCTTGGACCCTCCCGGCGACCGCCTACATCAATAGTCTCCCTGCTCACCGTACCGAGCTGGTTCGGTATGTGGATCCATTGGGCTTATAATATCTTTAGATGGCTACTTGCTTGTACCAATCCCAGACACTCCATAGGACTGCCATAGGACTGGCGCCCCATTGACCGCCTTTCAACCACCCTGGCCTGATCGGTCATCAGTCCCATGGAGTCTTTGTGATGTTAATCGGGTCCCAGGTACCTTCTTCAGCCTCCGTTTCGTCTCGTCTCCGCCACGTGCGGGGGTTTCCGACCAGGAGTGCAAGCAGGGTCGCGACCAGGTGCTGGCCAAGATCAGCGAAACCTCCCGGTCCACCGAGGCCCTCCGGAGTTGCTTCGCACAGCTCCGGGATGACCCCAACGCACACGACGATGTGTCCCCCACCAATCTCCCAGATGTCATTCCCCAAAAAACAAGCAGGTTACCCATGGTTGCCCCCCAAATTCTCTTGTTAGGAAAGATCCAGGTCAAAGTTGTTTTGGAATTGCAAGCTATTGGTGCGTCCGTTGTTGTTGTGTCCTTTTTTCCTCGTGGTGTTGGTGTTTTTGCTCCGACCCTCCGGGCGGAGGTTCAGAGGCCCCCAGTGTTTTGGGTTGTCAACGAGTGGATTTGGACCACGGGTGGCGGTACTTGTAGGTCTGGGCATGGAAAGGGCACTTTGGGACCCCGGAATTCCGGCCAGGCTGTGTTTCTTTTTGTGGTTATCAAGCGTGGAATGTTGGGTTTTGTTTTCTTTGTTAGTATGTTATAAGTTATAAGTGTGTTGATTTGCATGCACCACTTTTTGTTGTCACTTTGGGTACTTTGCAAAGCTGACATGAATGAACGCGAACCACTCGAAACACGGTAGTACGTAGAGGAAAGTACTTTTTCCCATGGTTGTTCAGGTGATGATCACGGTGTCACGGTGTCGCAAGCTACAAACATTGGCGGGTGATGATCACATCCTGAACACATGAGTGTGGCTCTCATTGGTTATTCTATGATATCCTGTTGCTCTGGCTACCGCATGCTACCGCTGGCCTCGGACGCCCATGTCCACCAGATTAGTCGACACATACCCACACACGACTAATGGGACTGCCATAGTTGCCGATCAGTTGCGGGTGGTTCGGGGGGTCAATGGGGTGGCGTACACCGCCGAGTCCCAGTTTAGTCGTGTGTGGGATGTGGTTCTTTACGGTCTCAGGTCCACATCCCCACGCATAGATCCTTGTTGTTCCACCGAATATATATATATATAATATATATATATATACTTGTAACAGAACTGGATGGTATATCGATGCGTTCGAGATTAAAGAAACGATTTTTTCTTTGAGGACAAATTCAGACGAACGCATGGTGTTTATATATACAAAAAGATTCAGCAGCCAAGGAGGCTTCTATCCCAGAGAAACTTGTATAGTGGGTTGAGAGTAGATGGCACAATCCCCAAGTTTGGTGGTTTAGATGGACCCCATTTGTTCAAGACATCTTGGGGTGCCAGTGCCATCGAACCTCTGAAACCACTGTACTGAGGCTGCACATCCATCCATGGTGATTTGCACATCAACCCATCAACCATCTCTGAAGCTCGGATGGACCACCAACACATCCACCTGGGCGGATCCGCGCGGACTTGGGCGCTTGAGAAAAGCATGTTCGACTCGAAATGACTCGAGGGTTGGAAAGGTTAGGATCAGAAGATCCGGAAGTTTGGGCCTGCCTTGAACCATTGAACATTATACATAAATGATCTAGGATTAAATACACAAACATGAATGAATAAACACATCGATCCATCTACCGGCAGTGGTTTTGTTCGTCCCATCCAGTGAGTGGATGTGACAAGGGCACTTACCGTCACCTACCCTCCAAGTTCGGCACCCAATGCGCTGGAATTCCTGGTTTAGAATGGTTTAGACCATACAGAGGGTCCAGGTGGATTCATACACTCCAAGCACCCCTGAGTCAAAAGCTTAGGGACGGCTTAAAAGTCAACTCAATGCAGGAACTCCCGTTTAGCGTTATCAGATTCCAACCACGTAACCATGATTTCAGAGAGTGTGGAGGACAAATACTTGGACTGGGGGCAGGCAATGATCCCAACACCGCCCCAAAGCAGCTCAAGAAGCTTTTGGTCAACACGCGAGCAAAAAAAAACCTTGGATCGATTCCACCCATGTCGCGACGGCTGAAGGGCTCGTTGCCATGGCTTTGGGCCGTGCTCGTGTTTGGGGCCTGGCGGTCCCACAGGGCCTTCACGCCTTCTGCAATCACAGAGTCAAAGGAGGACCTGTGCGACGAGTTCACTGGTGACTCCGTGATCACACGGGTGATTCAAAGCATGTGGAAAACAACCCCTTGTAGAAGGATACTGTGGTGGAAGAACATTGAGATCGAGAGGTGAAGACCAGATGGGTTTGCTAGAGAGGCTCTATGGTTGTTTGATGTTTCATCAGCCAGTTATATACAGTTATCACATGTTTTCACTAGTGTAGAAGGGACCTTATACTTCCTGGTTCAGTAGGAAATGTCACGATCCTCTACAGAACTTGGATCCCTCTCAGATAACCTAAGGAGACCCGAGTAGAACGATCACAGTGCCAGGCTCCAACAAGTCCTCTGGCTCAACTGGTGAACCCTTCGGCATCCCGTGCCGTGTGGGCGATCCAACGACAAACGCCTAGCAGATCCATGTGGTGAATCCAATGTGTTTCATGCCGCACCCCCATCCTGGTTCTTGGCTTACAAGATTCAGCTTGTCTACCTGGTTCTTCAAAGTGACCAGACCGAAGCCTTGACCAGACCCATACCGCTTCAGTTCCTCTTGCCTTGGGAAGGACCATGAAACGAAAGGTTGACATAGGTTGACCTGGTTTTGTTGTTAAAAATACCTAGCAACATCTAGCAACATATTGGTGGTGTTGGTAAAGACCATTAAAACAATGGTGGGCGACCGGGTTCATCAAGCTAGGGCGGTCCCAACAGGGTGTCCCTCTACTTCTGCAGGACTGGCGTCGGGGTCCAGGAGTCCCTCCAGAGCAGCGCTGGAGCTTTTGGCCCGCGCTGCCCATCGCACCCTACGAGCGGCGCTTGACCAAGCGCTATGAGGTGCTCCCAGGCGGGACAAGCCGAGGGGAGAGCGAGAGCAAGAGAGCAAGAGGCTTTGCGGTGCATGGAGTCGTCGTCGTAGCTTCGAAAATGAGTACCTGGACCCGACTTCAAGTGAACATGGGACATGTGACATGGCCCTATAAAAACAGGGCCTGGTCACTTTCCGAGGTACTTTGAGACTCCAGGTAATAGTACATAACTGTTTTTTGTTACAGGATCATGTCCCATTTTCTAAGGTACCTGAAGTTGGGTCCAGGTAGTAATTAGGTAGGTGAGTTGCTGAGCTACAATGAATGGGAGACGTAAAGGGTCGGCTCGTGCTTTTGTGGAAGGACCAAGTTGTCTTTAGTGCTTTCTTGTAAGATGTGAGATGAGGGATTTGAAAGGGCTCCAGTTGGCATTTGGCTTTTCATGGCCTTAAGTCTCAGGTGAATCGGTCAAAGGCCCAAACGCTCCGTTCTCTTCCACGTGGGATCGTCGGAGCCGGACACGTTCTCGACCAGTCGAGGCGAGTTATGGACCTTTGAGCAGAAGCAGGGCATTCTCTACATCCATGTGCCCATCCGGATGACGGTCTACCGATCCTCAGCCAAGAGAAGGGAGGGAGCGTGGCGGGGACACCTGTGGAGTGTTCAGAGCTTGACGAACAAATCACAGAGACCCAGAGATGTTGGAGACTCTTGGGGCCCACGGTTGGTTGGGGAGTTAGAAAGATCGATTTGGATCAAGAGAAGCCTCCAGACATGGATTGTAAAGTCTTTTCAGGTTTTTTGAGTTCAAATAGAATGGGGCGATGCATCAAGTGTCTACATAACGAGTGATAAAGACATGACCTGGATCATCCGTTTCAGGTGCTAGAGATGTCTGATTGTTTGGGGAGCTCTTCCATTTTGAAGTCTTGACCTTGACCCTTGCTTTCACGGATGCTCCAGCTTGCCTTCCCAGACACTCCATGGTCCATAGCGTGTATGGAATCTATGTCGCCCCAGAAAGACTCCTGAAATCAAGCACCCCGGGCAGTCCTGGCATCGGGAGTCATATGCTCCCACACAGGTCTTATCGGTTGTGTGTGGGACAACTCCAGCCGTTCCAGCCTCGTTGGCGCCAGGAATGACCACGCGCCGTGGGCTTTTGGTTTACGCGCCCGTGGCGCCCACGGATGAATGCCTCAGCTTGCTGCGAGAACTGGAGGTGCTGCGATCTTTGTGGGAAGGGAAGACAACACAAAATCCCTGGAGTGGTCAACCTGAGAACTTGAGGAAGACCTCCCAAAGTGAAGATTGTAGACATGCCATTGCAAGTCAAAAGCAATTCTGGAAAACCTATAGCCTGTGGTTGCGTGAAGATAGCTTATTTGCATCCATCTCACACCCTCAATCAGAATCATCATGCCCCGGCGATTGCCTTTATACCATGGGGGCAGGGTCTATAAATCTTCCGTACATGGAGTACAGCTTGGTGTCAGAAACCGCACTTGGTGTAGCTATACCAGATCCTCTTGGACTTATATAATGTCTTCCAGAATAATCATCTTGTCTCTAGCACCAACTATGAAGATAATTCATTTCATAGATCTTGATAGTTGTATATACCCATACACGTGTGGCCAAAAGACCACTGCATTTGAGAAACAACCAGTTGCACAACAACAAAGACACACACACTCTGACATTGGTTTGCAGTTAACTCAATTCCCAGGTGGAAGGAAGGTGAG